CCCTCACAGAGACCCACGTGAAGCAACACGATCGCTTTATGATCGATAGGTACACCGTCAGCAGCCGGTTCGCGATGCCTTCTGGCAGTCACATCCTTCACAGCCACCCCGCCAGCGAACCACTTATAGTGGTGGACGACTTCAACTCACAACTGCTTGACGAACTCTCGGCCAATCAAGGCAGTGTTGGGCCCCACGCCCACTTCGGAGCGAATGTGGCCGACGAGACCTTAGCCTCACAGGCTGGCTGCTGCGGAAGATTGCAAGGAAGAGAGGGCGCGCTTGCCAGACCATCACTGCACTGCCGGCCGACCATGCCCGGGACCCCACCATTGTTGATGTGGGCGATCTTGGCTCCTCGACCGCTCCCTCTAGCTCCGTCTGTGAGCCAAACGGGTAGTAGCTCGGTCGGGCCTGGTGGGCTGTGGAGGCGGAAGCCCCGACTCGGGACGCTAGCCGTGCTGATTCCGCTGACAGAGCGCTTCATTCTGGAAGGTCACGTCGATCATTGCCCCCACGCCGCCACTCTCAGAGTTCACTGCCTCCTGCTCCTGGGCTGCCATTTCTTCCATGAGCTCCTCGGTGGACCGGAGGCCTGTGAAGTGCGTCCTCTCCTCCGGGGGGACTTGGACAAACTTCACCGGCCAAGGGAACTCCAACCGGAACCTGGCAATCCAGTGGTCTAGGCCTTCATCTTCGCCCTCGTTGTCTCCGGGATGGCCTTGGTCAGGAACCTGCTAAGTTTCTTGGGCTCAGCATAGTTCTGTGCTCATAGGGCGGCCTTCAGCAAGTTCACCAAAGAGCCGTTGGTGCCGAGGTGGAAGACGCATGGCACTTGTTGACTCTACAGAGGCTTGGCTGGGCCGTATCGTGTGGCGCCGTGGAGGTCCCTCACAGACGACCACAGGAACCCTCACAGACTGGGAGTGCGAGATCCACATCCCGGAGGAACATGCCAACAAGCTCTGGGAGACCTGGCGCAGCATCTGGTTTGACCAATTGCGACAGCAGGGTCTGTCGAGCAGGAAGCTTTCGACAGTGCAGTGGCCTCTTCGGGCTCCTTGGGTTCCTCCGTTGTCCCAGGCTTCTCCTGGTGGAAGTACCAAGGGTACACCCTGTCCGATACCTCGGATCCGTTTCCGGATCGCAAGGGAAGGGACTGTGAGGATGGATGTGGCAGAGAGCTGCCGAGTCGTGGCCAGATCCCACATGCCATCGATGTTCCACAGCCCAGCTTTCGCAAGGGCTTTTTCCACTGTGAGACGGCGGTCCGCCTCCGTCTGCCAGGTGGAGAAATTGCGGCATACGATGGTGCGCTTGGCCTGCTCGATCTGTGAGAAGAGCATGTCCTTCTCAGCGGCCCGAACCTGCTGCTCCAGGTTGCCCATCGCTCGTTTGTCCTCACCTGGTGGACAGGGAGGACTACTCTGGAGGCCCCTGCGCACAGTCACCAAAATCCTGACAATTTCCGGACCCAGAAGTGGGCCCGTGGAAGGCGCTTCAGAATCTGAGTTGCTTCAGCAGCGGTTCGTTGAGTCCGCCGCCGTGGCTGTGGCCGCTCGCCGATTGGACATGTCCAGTGGACCCACAATGTTTGGAGCTTTCACAAGGTTTTCTCATTACATTCATTACATTGAGGTCTCGACCTTGTTGTTGTCGGCGACATGCTGCGCAACACGCAGGTGCCCGCCCAAATGGCAAGGCCGAGTGAGCCGGCCCGCTGTTGTTGAGAGGTCAAGGGTTGTGGCGCGCCGGCGAGCCGTGCAAGGGTTGTCGGGAGGCCGTTGCTTACATGTGATGATGACTTCGGGGCCTGCGCGGTTGGTTCAAGCCCCAGCAGATGTTCGCGACACTTGCATTTGAAAAGCTTGTCTTGGCCCTTTGTGTCGTGGAGACTCACATTCATTAGGTCTTGGTAGGCTCATCCTTTGCTGTCAATGCTGTACATGACTGTACATAGTGGTATATTAGCCATATTAGTATAAACTAATATATGTACAGCGAAGCCGACAGAAGTTTGCACGTGAGACCTCAGTCACATAACGACTTCAATTAGGTTCATCAGCAATGTGAAAGCATTCTTGTCTTGCCGTGCGTGCTCTCCAAAACACAGATCCGGAAGAACTTGTTCACCCTTTGGGCACGAGTGGAAGTATAATACTGCGATTGGCTGGGATGATGAAGTGTGGAGTGCTGTCGAGGGTGCAGTTCACCCCCTTTCCCTTTGCATTAACCTTTTGTAAATGCTCAAAGGGTGAATCTGTCCCCTCATAGGGGTTTCCGATGGTTTCCGCTCTGGTTTCCGATGGTTTCCTGTGGGTTTCCCATGGGTTTCCTGCGGTTTCCTCCAGGTTTCCAAGCGTTTTCCACACCTTTGTTGCAGTCTGCTTTGGTTTCCCATGTCTAGATAGATATGCTCCTCAAAAGTGAGTTTGCTCCTCGTACGGGGTTTCTGATGGTTTCCGGTCTGGTTTCCGATGGTTTCCTGTGGTTTCCTATGGGTTTCCCACACGTTTCCTGCGGTTTCCTGTGATTTCCCAGCGTTTTCCACATGTTTGTTATGGCCTGCTATGGTTTCCCATGAATTCTGGATGATAGACATGCTCCTCAAAAGTGAATCTGTTCCCTCTTAAGGGTTTCTGAAGGTTTCCGGTCTGGTTTCCGATGGTTTCCTGGGGTTTCCTATGGGTTTCCCACAGATTTCCTGCGACGCCGGATCTTGGCAATGCTTTGCATCGAAGTTTCTGAAGCAGGCGGCGAGGTTGAGATTCTGTAGTGCTTCCAACAAGCCCACTTCTGGGTCCGGAAATTGTCAGGATTGTGGTGGCTGTTGTGAAGGGGCCTCCAGAGTGCCGGGAGATCTTCTTTGGTTTGTTGATTTTCATAGCTCAGCTACAGCATATCGGTGCTGTCGTCGCCTCAGAATCTGCAGATCAAGATGCTCAAGCTGTAGTCGCTGTTGTGGCTGCTTAAAAAAGAGGAGAAGTTGTGACTTTCACAACACCTGTTGGCGGCCGTTCTTCGAAGTTCTTTGTGAATTGAGAATTCAATAAAAGGGCAAAGTGCCGGGTAAAGAGCGGGGCCAAGAACGGGTCCAGAATTCGGACCCGTTTTTGGAGCCATCTAATATTGGCACAATTCCCGCAGGTTCAGAAAACGGCCCCATTTTTGGGGCCGCATTTGTTCGCGGGGAACCACTTTCGAGCTCGTTGTCGGAATCGCAAAAATCTGGACGCGGATCAAGGAATATCGTCCAGTGTTACCAGTTGGTCAGCAAGATGCAGCGGGATAACTCCAAAATGTAGCACCCAGTCACTGCTTGTCTTGAACACATCTTCGGTTCAAATAATCAAGTTGCGGCATGTGTTCTTGCCAAGTGCAGGATTCGCTGCAGGATGCTGCAGCAACTGTAAACTGCTCCGAGAACTGGGGCGACCTTCTGTTGCATCGCCATCTGCACTAACTCCATGCACTAGCAGCAGCCGAAGACTGTGGGGCATCATGCGTGCTTCCAACTGACTCATGCGTTCAGTAAGGTCTTGGTGTTGCTCTTCACGCCGTGATTCTTGCAGCTTCACTTGTTCTAGCTGAGCAGCCACTTCTGCCAGCAAAGTGGACATTTTGTCCAACTGGTCTCCCTGGCCCGACATGGCTTCAAGGAAAGAAGAGAGAGGGACCTGTGAAGCTTGAACCGCTCGTGAGCTTTTTGAAGCCAGCTAAACCGTAAAACTTCAACTCCACCCACACAAAGCGAAAATACCAAGAACAGGGTTCAAAAGCAAGGATTTGAATACCCACGAAAATAAAAACTAATGAAAGCAAAGGCAACACAAACGCAAAAGAAGAAGCCACGAAATCGCTTTATGGCTTTTGCGAAGACAACAAAAAATCTTCGTCTCCACGCCTTTCCAAAGCTTCAAAGCTTCCACCCCTTTTGAAGCCTTCGAAGGCGCAGAGAGTTTCCAAATTTGCAAAAAAAACCCTTTATTTGAGCTTTTCTGAGCGGCAGCCTTTGTGTGTCACTGAATGTTCATGGTTCTGCTTCATTCGCCTTTGACCTCTTAAGCGATTTCGTGTGAAGAAAGGTCAAATGTTGTTGTTTTTCCTTCTGTCCGGAGGAGAGAATTCAAACCAAGGTTGCCTCCAGAGGGACAGTTCTACTTACGACTTGTGCACCCACACACGCACACACTCCAGGCATTCTGCTGGAGGCATTAGCTAAAGCCAACAACAAGCGCGGAATGACGAACTAAACTTGTTAAGAGAGACAGATGGACTTGGAGTCAACGAAATTTGCAAAAAGAAGTGATGGAACAGAACTTGTTAAGAGAAACAAGGTAAATAGAACGTCTTGGATGTGACTTTTCTTCTTCAGCTGGTCTTTTCCAGACTCCGAGATGTTCTTTTGACCGGTTTGACGCGCAACTTTTTCCTTTCATGTTCGACACCTGCGGTCCAGAAGAATTTTTTTTTTTCGGCTACAAATCCAGGCTAGGAGACTTAAAGACACTGTGTGCTTCGTATGTCTTTGTTTAGACTCCAATGTGCCTTGTTGTGTTGTCTTCTTTGCAGGAGTTCGAACATTGGTCAAGAAAACGCTTTTCACATTCACGTGTTCGAACTCCTTGAGTTCATACAGGTGTTTAAAATCCGGAGTTCAATACGGTGTTCGCACCCCATGTTCGAACACCAGTGTTCCAACCTCGAGTTCAAACACTGGTATTAGAAAACTGGTTTATAAGACGCTTTACAAACACAAAAAAAGAAGCACGAAATCACTTTACAGGGCCGTTTTGGGAAGAAAAAAGAAAAAAAAAGGAACATCAGAGAGAAGCCACTTAAAAAGCATTGAGGCATTGGTGTAAGTGCAGTGTGGCTGCTTGCTGAGTTGTGGAACTGACAGAACCAATAGAGCCAAAGTAAAGTTAGAACTCAAGCTTTCTGGGCTGTAACTCGCATTCAACTGTTTGTCTCCAAGAAAAAAAACTTCCAACATCAGAATGTCCAAGATTACAGAATCTGTCGGGCAGGATCCGCATGTTTCCAGAATTCAGAAACTGCCATGGACTGTATTCTGATGTTACTGCCGCTTCACTTGCAACCATCATCAAGGAGCTCCAAGTGGGGCAACTGAATGTTCATGTTTCTGCTTCATTCGCCTTTGACCCTTTATCTAGATTCAAACTAGAGTCTTCCACTCGACTGCAGACTCCGACCGTACTGGTTCATTAAAGCTGAGTTCCATACCTGGGTTCAAATCTGGATTATGACCTGGGTTTAAATGAATTTTGCAGAAAACCAGTGCTCTGCCCAGCAGTGATTTTTTTAGAACGTAGTTTGAGCTTGCGTGACGGTTTTGCGGCAGCCTCAGTTTTCTCTTGTTTTGTGGTGCTTCGAAGCTTTTGAGAGGTGCCACGACCACTGTCGTTTGGCTTAAAGACACGCAGTAGTGAGCTGTGCGTGCTAAAAGTGTGAACTGTCTGAGTGTTTTGTGAGCTTGTGTTGCTTGCAAGGGTGCTTGGAACTTGTTTGCCTAAACCTGAAGAGCTGTTCGCCTTCTAGGTTTTTACAACCAAAAGAAAGAGTCCAATACGTTGACTTGAGGCGTGTTGCTTGCTTGGTTGTGCTTGAGAGGGAAGGCCGTGGCAGGCCAAGCTACTTCAACATCGGTGATGAACCAGGTGAGTCTGGTATGATTCGAAGGAATAGCAGGTCAGACGCTGCGCCGCCTTACTAGAGGCCGAGAGCGAGCAGTGTGGCTCGGGGTGCTGCCTTTAGTCCGGTGTCGAACTTGTCGGCTCTGGAACGGGGTATGCATCCAACCGGAACTCCTGTGGTGGGAAGCCCAGCTGGCTCGCCGAACCCTCTTGGAGGTGTGTTGGCACCCTCGCCAGGTTTGTCAGAGTTTGGTGGAGTTTCGCCAGTTAGTGCACCACCGCAACCCACCGTGGAGACGTTTCTTTACCATACGGTGCAGCAGCAGCAGCAGCAAGTTGCTCAGCTTACGTCTCTAGTTCAGGCTCTTGTGAGCAGGGAAGTGCCTGCGCCACCTACTGCGAGGGGCAAGGGCCACGGTGGAGAGCTTAGCTCCATCTCCGATTCGTCGGGGAAGATGGAGGTTGATGAGGGAGGTGCTCCCATCAGGAATCCCAAAGCTGAAGCTTATGTTCCTAAGTTGCCTGCAATTGATGGTGGAAAGATGAGCAAAGGCCGTCGCTCGGAGATCGAAGGATGGGCTGAGTTCCTAGAGCAATTCTTGCCGTGGATCGCCCTCTTTGATGATAGGATCCCGGAAGAGCTTCATCGGTCGATTGCCTCTGAGGTCACCATCAAGCAGTCGTCGCTTGAAAAGGGACAGAGCGTGCGTTCAACTAGGACCTTCTTGTACCTGAAGCAAGCGTTGCAAGGGTTTGCTCGTGGGCTTGACTTGGTTAAGCAAGTGGAGAAGGAGCAGCTTGGCTCCCCAGCTGGGTACGAGTGCATGAGGAGGTTGCATCAGGAGTTGTCTGTTGCGAGCCGCATCGAGGCTTCGACGCTTCGGAATGAGGCCTTGCAGTACCGCGCGAGCACTCCTGCCAATCGCCCACTTGACATGTTTCGGAACATCCAGTTGGAGCTTGCCAGTTTACCCGCTTGACCGCAGGGTTCCCAGATCTTGCGTTGAGTGAAGCAGATCGTTGCATGATTGTTCTGAGAAACCTTGACGTTGAAGTGAAGAAGTATGTTCTTTTGCATGCTAGGGTTGACTCGATGGACCAGCTTGAAACGGCTTTGAAGTTTTATGATGCCAACCTTAAGATCCTGAATTTCCAAGAGAAGGAAGGAAAGGGAGCAGCAAAGGACCACGCGAATGCTTTGACCTTCGAAGACAAGGGAAAGGGCAAGAAGGGTGACAAAGGAAAGGAAGGAAAAGGAAAGGACAAAGGAAAGGACAACAAGAAAGGGAAGGAGAAAGGAAAGGAAGGAAAAGGGAAAGGTGGAAAGGACAAAGGCAAGGACAAAGGGAAGACCGCAGCCGCAAAGGACGGCAAGCAAGGTTCTGGAAGCGACAAGGACAAGGAGAAGGAGAAAGCAGAGCGCTTGAAGAACGTCAAGTGCTACAACTGTGACCAGTTCGGGCACTACTCGAATAAGTGTCCCAAGCCCAAGAGGGAAAGAGCATCAGCAGCTGCGTTGCTCGAGCCGCAGGTTGCGGCTGCCTCTTTGGAGCCTCAGATTGTCGCAGCCGCGGTTGATCTGAGTTGTCCGGTTGTTGAGCTTGATGAAGAGCATTGCTCGGATTTTTCCCAGGAGGATTGGGAGGAGTTCGTTGCATCTTATGAGTGTGCTTGGTCGGGACCTGTTGTGCTTGAAGGCGGTGAGCCTGTTGTTGCGCTTGAGGGTTCCATGTTGCACGTTGCGCTTGAGAGTTTTCCTTGTGACAGCCCAAACAGAGCCACAGTTGAGCTTGCAGAGTCCCGCGGTGTCCCAAACAGAACCACAGTCGAGCTTGCAGAGTCCCACCAGGTCCCAGACAGAACAACAGTCGAGCTTGCAGAGTCCCCAGAGTTGAGCTTGGAAGCAGGTCGTTTTGTTGCAGATTTTCAACATGGCGTTGAGCATGGCATGTTGCATGGGATAGGTAGACCTGACCATGGCATGGTAGCGCACGAAACAGCAGCAGCCAGCCAGCAGCATGACACCATGGACTGGTGGCTCGTCGACTCTGGCGCGTCGGCCCACATCATCAACGAGGACACTTTGAGCCGGGTGCACGTTGTGAGCCACAGTGAGTCTGCCAGTGAGTGTGTTTCTGCAACGGGTGACAGCATTGGAGTTCGGAGGTCTGCGGTTGTCAGGGTTCCTTTCGTTTTGGTTTCAGGCGAGACGGTGGTAACAGAACTCCAAGTGCTTGTTGCTCCTGTGAAGTTTAACCTGCTCTCCTTAGGGCGTTTGCTGGGCAAGAGCTGGGTTGTGGATTTCCTGCCAAGTTTTAAAGTTGAGGCCGCTGGGTACGTTCTTCGCACGAGATGGGTCTCCAATTGCGGATGGGTTTTCTCGAGTGCTGTTGAGCTTGACCGTTCCGTTGCAGTTGCCGCCCGAGCGAGCTTGAAGCGTAGTGACGGCTGTGCTCCTTCGTCTGGGAAGCCTTCTAAGAAGGATGGGGAGGAGCAACCGGGCACCCGAGGAGTCTTCTTCCGACTCGGAGCAGGAGTGGCGCCTTTCGGGTCACCGCCACCTGGCGGAGCAGCACGCGGCGACTGTTACAAGGACGCACGAGGATTTCGAGGGATCCACGGTCGCCTTTACGGCAACATCGATGGTGGGTCTTACGCCGGGCCAGAACCTGCTGTTGGTGCCAGCCGCGGAAGTGAAGAAGAAGACGGCAGAGCAGGCAAAGGCAGCTGCGAAAGCAGCGGCGGAGAAATTCGTGAAGGAGCGCCAGGAGAGCGCCCAGTGGGCCAAGGAGGCAGAGGAAGCAAAGAAGAAGAGAGCAGCCAAAGCCGCAGAGGCCAAGAAGAAGGCAGCCGAGGCGGAGAAGTTGATCAACGAGGCCACGGAGGCAAAGAAGAGAGCAGCCGAGGCAGTGGAGTTGGTCAGCGATTCCCCGGAGGGGAAGAAGAAAGCAGCCGAGGCAGAGAAGTTGGTCGACGAGGCCACGGAGGCAAAGAAGAAAGCAGCCGAGGCGGAGAAGTTGGCCAGCAAAGCCACGGAGGCAAAGAAGAAGGCAGCCACAGAGGCCACGGAGGCAGAGAAGAAGGCAGCCACAGAGGCCAAGAAGAGGGTCGCCGAAGCGGCCGAGGTCACAGAGGCCAAGAAGCCCAAGGGCAGTGTGGCCAGAGCAAAGGCGGAGCCGTCTTCGGGGTCGAAGGACCCACCTGGTGAAGAGGCAGCCCAAGCCGCCCATGGTGAAGGCAATGCCAGCCAAGGTCCGAAAGATCGTCTTGAAGAGCCGGGCCCAGCACGGGATTCCCAGGCAGACCGACACTGCGCTGAGAATGCTTTCGCAGCGAGCCAAGGAGAAGAAGAAGCAGGGCCACCTCATGAAGGCCAACGCTATGAAGAAAAAGGCCGAGGAGCAAGGGCGCGCCGGTCAGAAGAACCTGGGAGAAGCATGTCAAGGACTATGCTCAGATCAGGGGGCTGGAGATCCCGTTCGTGGAGGTGACGATTTCCGAAATCATCAAGGAGCCTCGTGGGCCGCCGGGGCCGCCGATGCTGCCACAGCCGAAGACCCCTCCGAGATCAATCCCCCACCACCGGTGCCACCGAGGAGGAGACTTCCCACGCCGCCGAGGGACCCGAGGTCAGCCGGACGAGGGCCCTCTGCGCCCTCAGAGTGGTCACCTGTGTCCAGTCTGCCGCCATGGTCACCAGTGTCCAGCGTGCCGGTGGATGCAAGGGCCAGGGAAACCCCAGCCGAGACGAGAGCCGAGGAGCCCCCAGCAGAGAGGAGAGCCGAGGAGCTGCACATCGGGGACGACGGCAAGATCTACAACTCGCGGGGCGAGGTGGTGGAGCTCGAGAGCATCGAGATAGAGTGAGCCACGGCGGTGCACAAGGATCCTCCAAGGACGCCCGCCAATCTTCCGAGGACGCCCACCATCCAGGAATATCCGATGGTCCTTCTTCCTTGGGACTCTCGCTTCTGATGCAAGAAAAGGTTGCGTTTGCATGTGAGCATGATGCTGCAGTTGAGCTTGGTGAGCATGCATGTGTTGGTGGTTTGGGTGAGCATGATTTGCAGCATGGTGAGTTGCTTGAGCATGTTGGCCAGGACCGACCACAGCGTGACCGGAGCGAGGCCCATGATAGCCAGAGTGAAGCATGGTTGCTTAGAGGGGATCGGGAACTGTTGTTGCAGGAGAGCTGGGGTAAGCTAGAGCGAGAACATGTTCTTAGATCGCATGTGCCGTACAATGCGTCTTGCCCGCAATGCGTGCAAGGTCGTGGGCTTGAACCCGCCAGAAGCCAGGATCGGCCCCAGGACTCAGGGATGAGAGAGGTGCAAATAGATAAGTTTTTCTATAAGGGCCTCGCGTTCCTGGTGTTGGTTTTGGTTGGTGCCTTTGCCCTCGGTGTGGTTCCGTACCGTGAGGTGAGCGGATCCCGAGGCCCAGCAGCCAAGGAAGCCATGTTGAATGACATGTCGGCATGGAGTCGTAGTGTTGGCTTGGTTGGTGTTGCTCCCAGTGAGTTGACGGTGAGTGTGAAGTCGGACATTGAGGGTGTTGTGAAGAACCTTGCGCAGAGTTTTGCTGATGGTTTGACCGCCGGTGCCATCGAAGTTGTGGATGCCCCTGTTGGTCGGCATGCTGTTGTTGCAGAGCGTGCTGTGAGGACCATCAAGGAAGGTGCAAACACACTGTGTGCTGGGTTGGAACAGGTCGGCTTGGAGCCCTGCGGGAAGGGTGTCACGTATCTTTTGATGCACGTTGCCCAGGTCTACAACCGGTACCAGGTGCATCCTGGATCGGCGCTGTCCCCAGAACAGCGGTGCTTGAAGACCACCCGTGGACCGCATGCCGCATATGTTTGGGGTGCTGCTGTGCTTGCCACTCCTCCTCCCTCTTTGCGTGACAAGATCACTGGCCGTTACGGCCACGCCGCCTACCTTGGACCAGAGGTCGGAAGTGGAAGCCACATTGTGCAGTTTTAGGCTGCGGGATGGCACCTTGAAGATTGCGAGAAGCGCAAGAATCCGGATGCTGGTTCCTCTCACTTTTGAGGTGTCGAGCTTGAAAGGTGTTTGTCGCATGTTGCCTGGAAGAAGGGATGATGCCCAGAAGAAGCTCCCCGAGAGCAGTGGTGACAATGTGCGCGACCTCCCGTTGCCGAACACCGCAACCCGAGGACCACCACCAGAGTGGATTGAAGAAAACGGAAGAACCCCAAGGTGCCGAGCTTGCCGGCTGCGCGGCTTCCCCGCGGATAAGGCCTGGCACACCCAGAAATGCCGTGACCGCTACGCAGAATTTGTGCGGAACTCTTTCGATCCCAGCCGGGCGATCCTCGATCAAGCCCCAATTGAAGAAGAAGCGGCTGGGCTTGATGATTTGGGTGCTGGATTTGATGTTGATCTTGGGTTTGATGTGCCGGATGATCTTGATCCGTTCCCGAATTTTCCGGTGGACGAGGATTTGGCTGAGTATGAGCCCAGCCTGCCTGGAGTTGAGAATGAGATTGAGGTTGGAGAAGAACTCGAGCAGATCGAGGCCCCGAGCCCGGGCGAGCTTGATTTCATGCAAGTGGAGCCTGAACCTCTTGAGGCACTCCCTGAAGAAGAGCGGGAGGCCATGGTGTCTAGTGTGATGTACCGAGAGTCCATCTCCTTTGCTGGTGCGTCGGTTTGCTTTGCCGGGGCCGCCACCAAGGTTGTTACTCCTCAGGTTGTTGAGCTTGGGGGGGAGAAGCTGTTTGTTGAAGTGCCAGCTTCTGCAAAGGATGATGTGACTGGGCACCTGCTTGATATTGGCTTGACCTATGAGGGCATGTTGCGTGAACTTCGTGCTCTTGAGTCGCTTGCTGTCGGTGATGTTGCGTGGCATGTTGATCCGAAGCAGAAGGTGATCTCTACAAGGTGGGTCTCCAATGCCAAAGTCGAGCGTGTTGAGGGAAAGGAGAATCCGCTTGTCAGGTGTCGGGTTGTTGCTCGTGACTTTGCGCAGGGAGCGACCGCGGCACAGCTTGGCATCTCTGCTGCCACAAGCTCTGCAGAAGCGCTGCGAACTTTTCTTTTCTACGCGGGTTCCAAGAGGAGGAACATCGTCGGCTTGGATGTGAGCACCGCGTTTCTCTTTGCGGACCTCGACGAAGAAGATGGCCACATTGTGGTCAGGCTGCCAGACGGAGTTAAAGGTAAGGACGGCCGCCGCGGCTACTTGCGCCTAAAGAAGGCCCTCTATGGTCTAAGAGTTGCAGCTCAGACCTGGTCGCGTCACCTGGCAAAGCTGCTGAAGAAGCTCTGTGACCTGGAGCCCTGTGAGACTGAAGCTTGTTTGTTCTCAGGCTCCGTGCTTGGAGGCCAGCGGGTGGTTGTTCTTTGTTACGTTGATGATCTTCTCATCACTGGAGACAGCGACGAAGCTATCTACCATGTGGTGGAGCAGCTGAAGACCGCTGTGAAGGTGAAGGTCACTGCCGATCTGGACCGTGACGGTCAGATCACCTTCCTTGGAAGACAGATTGCCCGAGAGTATTCTAGTGATTCCCTGTGTGTCACAATGTCCGATTCCTACTACGAGGAGATCTACAAGGGTTTCTTCGGGAACTCCAAGGTGACCGCGTGCGGCACGCCGCCCAACCTAAAGGAGTTGTACGACAAAGAAGATCCTTGTTTGGAGAAACCCCTGTCTTCTGAAGCTGCTGCGAGGTTTCGCAGTTCCCTGGGAAGGCTGTCATGGCTTGCGATGACAAGAGTGGATGTGGTTTACTACGTGAGCATGCTGGCCCGAGGCCAGGCGAATCCACTCGAGAAGCACGAGAGAGCTATGAGGGCTATGTTGCGTTACTTGAAGTATATTCAGGGTTTTAAGCAGGTAGTGAACCCGGTTTCTGAAGAGAACCTGCGCCTTGATTGCTATGTGGACGCTTCCTGGGGTAGCGAGAAGAATGTTGACAGGAAGAGCATCAGCGGAGGGTGCGTGATGTTGGGAGGCTTCTGTTTGAAGGCCTGGAGCCGTCTGCAACAGGCTGTTGCCTTGAGTTCTGCCGAGAGCGAGCTCTATGGGCTTGTGGAGGGTGCGAAAGAGGCTCTCTCTATCCGGTGCGCCATCTCGCATGTCTTTGGGTGGGAAGATCTGCCAAAGCCCCATCTCTTCTGTGACAGCGAGGCTGCAGTTGCTATCAGCAAGGCTGATGGGCTGAGGAAGGTGAGGCACATTGACCTTAGGGCGTGTTTTATCCAAGACCAGCTCAAGCAAAAGCAGATTTTTATCTTTGGCGTGCGTGGTGAAGCCAATGTTGCAGATTTTTCACCAAACCTTTGAGTTGGACTGTTACCTTGAAGCACATGTGGGGACTTGGCTTGCGTGACGTTGCCGTTGTTGCTTGTGCGCTTGATGGCTTTGTTGCGTTATGCGGTGCAATGCTTGTTGGTAAGAACCATGTTAGCTTGCGTGACCGTTTTGCCGCCATGCCGCATGCCTCTTGGTTGGTGATTGAGTTCTGTGCCCCCGTTGAATCATCGATGAGAACGGCTAGCCAGGACTTGAACTGGGTGAATGTGCTTACTGTGACTGAGCGTGATGATGGTGCCAGTGCACAGACCTTGCTTGAGCTCAAAGCCATCTTTGCTGCGCAGATCAAGAAGAAGGGTTTTGTCTTCTTGTGGGCCAGTACCCCGTGCACCGGAGGCTGCCCATATCAGAGGCTGCGTGCCCGTGATCCAGCTTATCGCCGAGGGCGGTTGGCTCAGCACTGGAGGCTGCACCGAAAGCTCTGGAGAAGCTTGGTCGAGCTTACTAGCTTTGTGCATGCTTGGGCCATTGAGTGGCCACGTGCTTGTGCTTACTGGTCTTGGCGCCAGACTGAGCATTTTCTTTCTTCACGCCCCTACGTTTTGCACGACGTTCCAGTTGATGGTTGTGCGCTTGACATGCGAGGCCGCGATCATCTTCTTATCGCCAAGCGGTGGCGTGTTGTTACCACACACCCAGCAGTTGCTGAGAGCATCCGTGTCTATCGTTGCTCTGGAAAGCATGAGCACTCGAAGGACTTCGACCTCAAGAGTACACAGCACTACCCGGTAGAGCTTGTAAAGTCCTTCTTTGAAGCGTTGCGCCCTTGACTTTTTACGCGAGTCTTGTCGTTGTTGAGGACATGTTGTTGCATGTTTGCTGCGCAGCCCGTTTGCTCAAACTTTCCGGTGTTTTCTTTCTTTGCCAGGACGTTTAAGATGTCTCTGGTTCCTTTCGCTGCCGAGCGTGCCATGGTGTTTGGCCTGGTTGTGGAAGTGCAAGAGAAGCTTCTCGAAGTGCCGAGTGTCGGGCTTCTCGCTGTTGTGCTTGTCCCACTGCTTGTGGGTGTTGCGCTTGGAGTGTGCTTGCAGAAGCTGCGTACCGAGAGCTCCCGCGTCAAGACTGTGCAGGACCTTCTTTCGTTTCTGCCAAGGTCAGGCCAGAAGATGGCTGTCTTTACTTCTGCTTACGGAGACTGTTTCCACGTGCGTAGGGACTGCCACGGCCTCAGGAACGCGATTCCGAATCGCATCGCTGCTAAAGTGGCGTGCGAGTACTGTTTAAGGGATCTCCACCTGGTACCTCCGACAGCTACTGCGTCGTGGGGGGGTGTAGAAAACCAGTGCTCTGCCCAGTAGTGTTTAGGTGCGACACAGAGTTTTCCTCGGTACCTGTATAGTTGTATAGTTTTGCTAGTTTCAGGTGGTCAGTGCCTGTAGAACGTAGTTTGAGCTTGCGTGACGGTTTTGCGGTAGCCTCAACCTGTTTTCCCTTGTTTTGTAGTGCTTGGGAGCTTTTAAGAGGTGCCACGACTACTGTCGTTTGGCTCAAGACACGTGAGACCAGCAGTGAGCTGTGCGTGCTAAAAGTGTGAACTGTCCGAGTGTTTTGTGAGCTTGTGTTGCTTGCAAGGGTGCTTGGAACTTGTTTGCCTTAAACCTGAAGAGCTGTTCGCCTTCTAGGTTTTTAACGGATTTAACCCGGAGTTGAACCCAGGTTCGAACCAGGTCCGGAGGATGCGGAAGACTTTGCTGAGCAATAAAAGCTCTTGGTGGAAGCCCTTCAAATGCACTGTTGCACAGAGCATGAAGCTTGGAGGCCAGCTCCAACTTCCCACTAAAGTCTGTCGCCTGCAAGAAGAAGTTTCCTGCAGAGAGTCTCCATGACATGAGCGTAGACTTTAGCCGTAGTTACTCCAAAAAGCGCCGCAGACAGAGTCTTGCTTGCCAAACGTTCTTTGTCAATAGCCGAAGCCGGACCACCAATGGCCTGCACGTACTTGCAAACTCCAAGCGCTCTGTCATTCAGAGTGTCTCGCAGCCACGTCTGGATCCAGACAAGTGCGTGCCTCTCGAAACCCAGGCTGCAGCTCAGAAAAGCTCAATGGGGGGACTTTTTGCAAATTGGAAACTCTCGGCGCCTTTGAAGCCGCAAAACCGTGAGACTTCACCTTCGAAGGGAGAAGGGCAAACCTGGGTTAAACCCCGGGGGGGTGTTCTTTTTGAGTCCTGTGAAAACTTGATTTCTCAGAATTTCTCAAGCCACGTTCAACATTGCATTCGGCAACATTGAACGTCGCGCCCCTGTGGGGCCCTGGGGGATGTTTTGCCACGACTTGCGTTTGACCTTCACTTTACAATTCAAGCCGTCTTTTTCTCGCATCTGAGGCGGTGGATTTTTTCTTCTAATGCCTCTAATGTCTTTTTTCTGAGCTCTGCAGAAGAGACACGCACGCATGCATATCAAACAACACAACAAGGTCAACATGAGTTTGCAATGCAAACTAAACAAAAACAGACGAGTGTCTTTGGGTCTTTTTCTGGCCTAGACTTGTGGCTGAACAAAAGTTTTTCTTCTGGAGAAAAAAAATCGAGCCGTCGAACCGGTCAAAAGAACATCTTGGAGTCTGGAAAAGACCAGCCGAAGAAGAAAAGTCACATCCAAGACGTTCCATTTCCCTTGTTTCTCTCACAAGTTCTATTCCGGATCACTTCTTTTGTTGTTGGCTTGAGCCAATGCCTCCAGCAGAATACGTGGAGTGTTGTACGTGAAACGTAGTCTTTTTCTACGGCTAGCCTTTTTCCAGACCCCGAGGTGTTTTTTTCCGACCACGTGATCTTTTTTGCTTTCTGTTCATCTGCGGTCCAAAAAAAGACCTCGATCTTTTTTTCGGCTCCAAGCAGAGCCAGAAAAAAGACAAGTTGGAGGCAGAAAAAAAATCCTTTGGTGTGTGTGTTTTCACTTTTATTTTTTGGTTGGGTCTCGAAGGGACGAACCCTTTATTTTCCGTTCGAAAATGGTTTTGAAACTTTTGTTTTAAAACCAAGCATGTTTGTTTTCAGTCACGTCAATGTGTTGCCTTTGCGAACACTTGTTGTTCTGAAACATTTCCCTCTTCAAGGGAGGGAGGGCGGGAAACCCTTGTGTACATTCACCAATGTGTGTTTTGTGCATGGGGGTGTAGTGTAGCGTAGAGAAGGTGCTCCGAGCACACGGTAGGGGGGGGCCATGGCAAATAGTCCAGAGCCTCAAGGTGCCAGGAGCAAGCCTTTCTCTGATCTTGAGGTTGATTGGGGCGACGGCCAGTCAAGTGTGTCCGACCTGCCTGAATCAGGGATGCCTCAGGAAATCGTCCCAGCAGGGCCTTCATCGAGCGATTTGCATGCAGCTTCCTTAGACGAGTGGTTCGCTGAAGTTTCTCTTGATGACCACGTCTCTGCAAGCAGCGTCGTGGAGCCAGCAATAGTTGCCAAGGATAGTGGTGTTCCGAGTGTTGCAGCGACCGCCGTCTTGTCATCTAGGGAGTATGCTGCTCGTCTACGGAGCTCCCACCTGAGCTTGCAAGATGCCACACCGAAGTTCTTTTGGGAGCAGGGGTTTTGGTCCGATTTCTTCGGTCCTGCCTCAGTGCCGGAAACCATCATGCCGAGATTCAAGGACAGGCGGCCAGACCCTTATCACTTGCCTTCGTCAGAGCCTGTCGAGCTGGGTCAGTCGCAATCTTCAAAGAAAGCACGTCGAGAGTTCGCAGCAGTCTTCCAGAAAGTTGTGGTTCAGCGACAGGTGATTTCTTGGAGGGATGCTCGTGAGGCCTCCTTTGAAACGGCCATTGTGAAATGGGTTGCTCTGTTTGGGTCTTGGGATTCTAATAGGGATGAGTCGCTGGATGGCTTTGCACAATTGTCGGAGCTTGAACAGAGGAACGTCATCGATGACAGCATTGCACGCAAAGCGCCATCAACTGCCTTGAAAAGAGCAAACTCGCTGATCAAACTCACGAAGTTGGCCGGAGCCGCAAACATTGTCATGCCTGCTTCCGAAGGCGAGATCTATATCATTTTGACCGATGCCAAGTCGGGAGGGGCCCCATTATCCCGGAAGCCATTACCTTCTCGCGACATGTCTTCGAAATCAGGTGCCTTCATCTAGTCAGTGTCAGCAAAAGATGTTGGGGTGTCACTGTTGCCAGGGTTGCAACTCCTGCAAGACAGGCTGACCCCCTGCGGGTCAAGGACCTCAAGGAGCTTCATAGGGTGTTGGATGAGGCGCCAGACCCCTGGGACCGTTGCTTCGCAGGCAGCGCGCTGTTTTGCGCGTACGGCCGTTGCCGATGGTCTGACTCGCAGCACTTGGATGATATCGAACTTGAATATGAAGAGGGCCCTGGTTCTCCCCTTGCATACGTAGGAGGTGTCATCGACATTCACAAAACAATGAACCTGCAGGGTCAGCAGCCCCGAGTTCTTGAAATCATTGCACCAGCGCAAGGAATCTATGAAGGTGACTGGGCCCTGAAGTGGCTCGCTGCACGTGCGGAGGTAGGCTGTGCCTGGTCGCAGGGCCACCCGACCATGCCTGCACCCAATCATCTGGGTGAGCCTACTGTCAGGGCTCTGGGCAGTGACGAGTGTGGTGCCTGGCTCAGGGCACTCTTGCCGACGAGGCTGGACATGAGAACAACTTCGCACTCTCTGAACGCAACGTTCTTGAGTTATTGTGCAAAGAGGGGCATGAGCCATCTTGACAGACTTGCGCTGGGAGGGCACTCCCATGGAGCGAAGAGTGCCGATACCTATGCGAGGGATGCCCTTGCTCGCCCGTTAAGGTTGCTTCAAGGTGTCATCAGAGAGATCAGTATGGGCGTCTTCATTCCGGATGCCAACCGTGCTGGCAGGCTAATCGTCAGTGCTGAGACTTCAGAGCTTGCGCAGGAGCTGGGCCATGAAGTCCCGAGAGTTTCGCCACTGCCTTTGAAGACCGCAGGGCCTCTTCCTGCCCGGCCCAAAGACGAGGTCGTGTCGTTGAGTTCGTTTGAGCCTTCTCCATCACAGCACGCCGAGCCCGCTTCTGAGTCCCATGAGTGCGAGGGAGATGTGTCAGAGGCCGATGATGGAGATTCGAGCCGTAAATCAAGCTCAAAATCGTCTGTCGAGGGCACCACAAGCTCAGATTCTGATGTAAGCTCAAGCTCTGAAGAGGAGAGCCCAGGACCCAGGATGCCTCAGTTCGTCCCGCGCCTGCCAGAGCCTCCTGAAGGTTTCCGGTTTGTGCAACACGCAAAGTTGAAGACCTTGCATTATGTCATGCAGGGTCACTTGAACTTCACCGTTTGCGGGCGGCGCATTACAGACTCGCTCACAGGATCCTTATCACTCAAGTGGGACAGCCCGGTCTGTCGAAATTGCAAGAAGTCCGTAGGACCACTGAAGTAGGGTACGTTGTGAGCCTTAAGCGCGATGGAAAAGAGTGAAGTCACATTTCGAGTGCTTGCCACCCTTTATTGAGTCACGTGAGTGTGTCTTGTCTTTGAGCAAGCCGCTGAGTTGAGTGGATGGCGAACATGTTTCGTGTGTATTCTTGAACGCTCAGGTTCCATTTACATGCGACTTCTGTCTCATCATGCTCAAGCCCACCTTTATGCCTGAGGGTTGAGGGAAGGGTGCCACACGTGTGGTGTCATGTCGCTGATAGACTCAAAAGCTGAGTTTGAGAGCAGATGCAAGGATGTCTGTGGAAGCAGTACGCTTCTTGAGAATCTACGCGCGAAAGGGATCGAGAGCTTTTCGAGTTTGGCATTTGCATGCGGCACTCCCCAAACGCCTCCGACCGAGACAGAGTTCACTTCATTTGCTGAGAACGTGTGTGGGCCATCAGTTGCCCTGGGAACTGCTGCCCAGCTTAGGAGGCTTCATTTTGAGGCCATCACACTTGTTGTGGCGCAGTTGAAACAGCAAGCGATTGCAGATCCTGCCGAGGCGGTTAAGAAACTGCCTTTGGCAGAAAAACAAGCCCGCATCGAAGATCAACGACGCAGGCTCCATGGGCTCTTGTTGGAGGATGAGTTGCAGCCATCGCATGCATTAATTGATGCATGCGCGCACATGATTGAGCAGAACCACATAACATGGGTCCCGCCCTCAAAATGCACGAAGAGGGACCAAGAACTGCGAGTTGGGATCAAGGACAAATCCAAGTTCCTTGTTGCAGCTGAGGGTGGTGTCACTCTTGCATCGGCCCCCACCGTGTTGACGGCCGATCATCAGACTCCGCTACAGCTCCAGTGGTGCTTGCAAAGGCGAGGACTTGCGCTCGACCTCAACAACATCATCGGCTGGACCTCTCACGAAAGGTGGGTCTC